AAACGTATCCATCTGGACCAGGTTGGGTTTGTTCCTGATTGAGAAGCTTGGGATTTGATTAAAACCATTTTACTTATGCAACGCGCTCAAACATCTTGTGTTCCCTCCTGTCTCCTAGCAGTTGATGCTGAAAAGCATTCAATATGATGAGTTAGCCCTTCCTAAAAAACATACTTTTAATACAGTTTGGTTTAGGCCCAAAGTGATATCTAGTATTCTCTCTTTGTATTCTATCCCGTTAGCTAGGGTTTGAGTAAATGGTTCTCTCTCATCTAGATTTTTCATTGATAATAGTATGCAGCAGGATTTTCACCTAACTCCTCTTCTTTATATTTTGATGATGGAGCATTTAGCTTAGTGGCTTTAGGAATTAATAACAGTATTCCCAGAATCTCTGTTGGGCCAAATCAAAATAAACGATCTTTGCAGATCTTCATCACCCTGCCACACTGGTGATATGTTGCGCAACCTCATATGGCAATGCCTTCTATTCCTGAAGAATTAAATACGTTTCGCCTACTGAGTAATTTTGAAGCGAATCTTTCTAAATCAGAAACACTCAATATTTATCTTCTCAAGACATCTGTTTAGCTTCTAAAGACCAGTTTTCCATTTGAGATTTTCTTCATCCTTAAAATAAGACTGTTTTAGACATAAAAACATTATCAAAGGAAGACGCTGTCCTGGTTTAGAAGGATAAATACTCTCAAAAGAATCATCATTCACAGATATTTGTATCTTTTTCAAACTGTCCTAACGTGGATCCCATCTCCATTTTTTTTTCTAAAAATGCAGAAATTGGTCACTACTTTTTGTTTAGAATTCGAGACAACCTCGATTGACTCATAAAACATTGGGTTGATTTACTAAAACTGGGGAGTGCAAAATCTAGTGCAGCTGTGCATGGTAACCATCAGCTTCTAACTTCAGCTTGTTCAATTAAGCTTTGACAATAAAATCAAGGTGCTAATTGGTTTCTATGCAGAGGTGCACCAGATTTTGCACTCTCCGGTTTAACTAAATCAACACCATTGTCTCTCCCTAAAGTGAAAGGAGATGCAGGTGACCCAAACATTTCACTTTATTACCAAGGTTCAGGCCTGGTGAGGCTTCTTGACTGGTTCCATAACTTTGCATTTAGGTTGTGTGTCCAGATCGAGCAGTCTCAATGTTTACTTGATCTCCCATGGATATTACCTAATAGGAGCAAAAACAGGGGTTCCATATTGTCACTCACAGACCAAACTTAAATTTTTTGGGATAGGTGGATTGCTACCTTTTAATATTTCTTCATGTGTGGGCACAATGACACTGGTATTTGAATATCCTTCTTTATCCATTGGTATAGATAGATCAACAAATGGTCCCTTTCTAAAACTGGGGAGTGCAAAATCTAGGGCAGCTGTGCACGGTAGCCATCAGCGTCTAACTTCAGCTTGTTCAATTAATCTTCTCATTGTTGATTAGCATTAATATTTTCTTCTGGCTATTCTCCATCTGGTCCTTTTAATAATTATACTGTCTCCAATTCACCTTGCCTACCATTTTTGAACGAACAACTCACCTCTTTCATCCAATCTTCGCTGGTCAGACAAAAGTACATTTCTCAGCCTACCCACTTTGAGAAACTCCGTTATGTTAACCCCCCCCCCCACAATCAGGTTCCCAAATATATTCATTATTGTCTTCTTTCACTCACTCCAATTTCCCAACCTATACAGCTAATTGAGAGAGAATTAGACATAAAATTCTGTAGTGAGGATTGGGGAAAAGCATTCACTTTCTCTCATACACTTTCTGTTTCTAGTACAGCTCAGGAAAACAATTTCAACATTCTCAACTGTTGGTATAAAGGTTCAGATGTCCTTCATTTTATCAATTCGACAATTCCAGACCAGACTGTTTTCAGTCCAGCTTAAGTAAAGACTGACCCATGGAGACAGTCTCTCTAAAGACTATCATATCAGTCAGGAAGTTTGCCAGATTAGGACCGTAGGCTATGAGGGATCCTTTAAAGGAAGAAGTGGTGACAACACACTCAACCAGGAGTGTGTAGAATTTGTAAGCTCCTGTAACAGGGTGTCAAGAATAATTGTAGGGTAATAACGTTGTCCTCTACTACAGGTGTTCTGGCTCACTGTGGTGTGAGACTAGCTTCTTTATCCTGTTAATGTCTGGCCCTAATTTCTGTTGGCTAACAGCTATGATTAATACTTTATTTTTTTCTGCATTCCACCCTTTTTTTTTTTTTGTCAGATATATGCTGCCATATCAGTCAGGAAAACAGAAAATGTCCTTTCCAGACAGACTCCAGGCAGCATAGGCAGCCTCCCAGTTTCTGGAGCAGGCTAGTTACAGAACAAGTTCTCAGGTTTAGCCTCAAAATTTAACCCTACAGGGTTTTTTATAGGAAAATTTATTTTTATTTTTTTTAATTTAGCTGTACAAAATTAAATAAATAAATGTTTTGGTTAACATTGTAAAACAAAGCTCTTGGAAGACATGCACTTTATTTGAATACTAGGAGAATAACATGGATACTATTTGCTGGCATTGTGATACGGCTGTGTATATTACAATAGTTTTGTTATCCCTGGGTCATTTTGTATTTCCTTTTTTTTTTCAGCTTTTTTTTTTTTTATTATTAGTTGCTGCATGTCCATGTAACACACTCAATTGGCTCCCAGCCTGCCCCTTCTTCCCTCATTTGGAGTATTGCTATAGAGGACAATATAAGAAGCTAATATCAAGTCAAATAATGTATTTATTTTGGTAGAATTTAAAAATACTCCTTTTTTAAATAAATATGTAAGTGCATTAATTGGTGGTGTTTTTTTGGCTTACCTGTTGGGGTTAAAGCATATGTAAACCCAACTTTTAAAATTCTTGATATGTGCCCGTTGTATTCTTTACTTGTATGAAAACATATCTTGCTCTCTTTGTATTGCTTCCTTTGTGTCCCTACCAGTCCCTCTGGTTTCCTAATAAAAACAGACCACACTAAGCAGGAGAGCACTCCGTAGTTAGTACTCTAGCTATGCTGGGGACTGAACCTGTTCTCCTCCAATGATCAGACTTGTCCTGACACATCCCTCTTGCCTGCCTTGTCCTGACTGTGCTGCAGTCTCCTCCAGCTCTTATGCAGCTGAGAACAGAGGGTATGTTATCACTTAAAAAAAAAAAAAAAAAAGGGAGAAAAAGTCTTTATAATGTGTTTTTTGAATATCTATACGCCTTTCATTTCTATATTAAACTGAATGGGTTGTTTTACAAGGTGAGGGTTTACATATACTTTAAGATTTAAGAGTGTGCATTTGTGTTTTGCTTGTGACATACATTTTGTAAAGGACTTTTTCATGCATTGTATAATATTAATTGTATCGGAACCGGACCCCGACTGCACTAGGGTATTTCCGTTATACTCCCGATTCCCTGTCCGAACACAGATCCATGGACACCACTGCTGGCCATACAAGACAGCACCAGACTTGAAGGATTCCAGGAGATAGACTGCTTTGTTTTAACATAGATACAAGATATATACATAGGGCGGGGAAATACACTATCAGGAATGGACTTGCCAGTAATGGTGGGACTCACCTGCCTTGTGGGCTGCAGTACCAGGGCTGGCCAGCGGGTGCTCCCAGCAATCAGAGACTCAACCCTGCAGCCAGCCAAACACTTGAAGTTGATTATACAGGTGTATTTAAGGGATGGCCAGACCTGCAGTCTCTGCCTCGGTGTGTGTTTTTCCTGGGCCCTGTATCTTGTTCCTGCATTCCTGTTCCTGTCCCTGTCCCTGTCTGATTCGTTGCTGACCCTGCCTGATCCGGACCTCTGCTGACTTCTCCTGTTTTATCCCTGGCTTGTGACCCCGACCATTCTCTGCCTGACCCCCTGTACCTACCTGCCCGATTGTTATTGACCCGGCCTGCCTGACGACGCTTGCATTGTATGTACTGTTATCTGTGGGTGGTTTGGTTTGGTTCGTTTGCACTGTGTTATGTTTTAGTATTGCACTGCGTTTATGTTTGTATTGTTAGTCTTTAATAAATTATATTGTTTATAACATATCTGAAGCCTGCGTTTCCCTGCGTCAGTTCACATACCTCTGGTCATACCCTGGAGCCCTGACATTACACCAAGGCCAATCCTGACCAGAAGTGGCTGCACAGGGAAGCCATCTTGGCTTGTTGCTGGGAAGGATGGATCTTGATGAGGTCGTGTATTTGTTGCTGCTGGTTTTTGATGACAGAGAATATGCTTATCAGGCTCTGAGGGAGTATACCCGGGATAAACTGCTAGAATGTATATGGATCGCTCATGTCCTAGTAGATCAGGGCACAGAGTTCTCTGAGGTGCAACCTTTGATTCAGGTTTGTGCAGAGTTGGCTTTATCTGGTACCCCTGAAAGCAGGAATGACTTTTTGCTACCATTTAGTGCAGACCAGGTAAAGTCCCTGGTATGGTTATTAGAGGATGATGTGGATTGCTTCTTGGAGCATTATGCTGCATGTTCACCACAGGTATTAAGGGATTGTATAAACGCAGTGCAGTCATTGACCAGACAGGCTTTGTGTAAACTGAGCTTTGTTCAACCCATACTGCAGACATGGTCAGACTCGTTGCACCCAGCCTCAGTCAGCTTACAACATCATTCCTCCACTCAAGGCACTCTTCCTGCATCCCCGACAGCACCCCCAGTGACTGCCCAGTATACTCTAACTACCACATACCAGTCCTCTGCTCCCACTCGCTGCACCTATCCTTTCTTTTACCCTGTAAAGAAGTCCTCTGTAGCAACTGCTCCCTCCTCTGTTCCATCTTCCAGCTCTTCTCTGTCCTCAGCTGCTCCATTCGTTTGCAGACCTGTGTTTACTTGCAGTGCCCCAGTAGTTAAAACCAGAAAAAAGCGGAAATTCTTTCCAACCAGTACCATCCTGCCAGTATCCAAACCGGTGAGCCTGCCGTCTGAGAACCTGCCTTTCGTGGTTCAGCCTGGTGCCTCGGCACCCGCACTTCAGCCTGATGTCTGTACCCAGCCTGATGTCTGTACCCAGCCTGATGAACTGATCCAGCCTGATGATCCTATCACGCCTGGTGACCCGATGCCCGCTGTCGAGCCAGACGATCCAATGCCTGATGACCCATTGCCCGCGGTCATGCCTGGTGACCCGATGCCCGCTGTCGAGCCAGACGATCCAGCGCCAGATGACCCGGTGCCTGCTGTTGAGCCAGACGAACCGGTACCTGATGACCTGGTGCCCGCTGTCGTGCCAATTGACTCAGAGCCCACTGGCGTGCCTGGTGACTCGGTGCCCACTGCCTTGCCAGATGACGCGGTGCCCGCTGTCGAGCCAAATGACCTGATGCCTGGTGACCCGATGCCCGCTGTGGAGCCAGACGATCCAATGTCTGACCCAGTGCCCGCGGTCATGCCAGTTGACTCGGAGCCCACTGTCATGCCTGGTGACCCGATGCCCGCTGTCGAGCCAGACGATCCAGCGCCAGATGACCCGGTGCCCGCTGTTGATCCAGACGATCCGGTACCTGATGACCCAGTGCCTGCTGTCATGCCTGGTGACCCGATGCCCGCTGTTGAGTCAATTGACTCAGAGCCCACTGTTGTGCCTGGTGACTCGGTGCCCACTGCCTTGCCAGATGACGCGGTGCCCGCTGTCGAGCCAAATGACCTGATGCCTGGTGACCCGATGCCTGCTGTTGAGCCAGACGATCCAATGTCTGACCCAATGCCCGCGGTCATGCCTGGTGACTCAGAGCCCACTGTCATACCTGGTGACCCGATGCCCGCGGTCGAGCCAGACAATCCAATGCCTGATGACCCAGTGCCCGCTGTCATGCCTGGTGGCCCGATGCCTGTCTCCCCGCCTGGGGGCCCAATGCCTGTCGCCTCGCCTGGGGGCCCGATGCCTGTCGCCCCTCCTGGGGGCCCGATGCCTGTCGCTCCGCCTGGGGGCCCGATGCCTGTCGCTCCGCCTGGGGGCCCGATGCCTGTCGCTCCGCCTGGGGGCTTGATGCCTGTCGCTCCGCCTGGGGGCCCGATGCCTGTCGCTCCGCCTGGGGGCCCGATGCCTGTCGCTCCGCCTGGGGGCCCGATGCCTGTCGCTCCGCCTGGGGGCCCGGCGCCTGTCGCCCCTCCTGGGGGCCCGGCGCCTGTCACCCCTCCTGGGGGCCCGATGCCTGTCGCCCCTCCGCCTGGGGGCCCGGTGCCTGCTGCTCCGCCTGGTGGCCCGGTGCCTGCTGCTTCGCCTGATGGCCTGGTGCGTGCTGCTCCGCCTGGTGATCCGGTGTCCAGCTCGATGTGCCGCTGCCCGGAATCCTGTCCGATGTGCCTCTGCCCAGAGTCCTGCCCGATGTGCCTCTGCCCGGAGTCCTGCCCGATGTGCCTCTGCCCGGAGTCCTGCCCGGTGTGCCTCTGCCCAAAGTCCAGCCCGGTGTGCCTCTGCCCGGAGTCCAGCCCGGTGTGCCTCTGCCCGGAGTCCAGCCCGGTGTGCCTCTGCCCGGAGTCCAGCCCGGTGTGCCTCTGCCCGGAGTCCAGCCCGGTGTGCCTCTGCCCGGAGTCCAGCCCGGTGTGCCGCTGCCCGGAGTCCAGCTCGATGTGCCTCTGCCCGGTGTGCCGCTGCCCGGAGTCCTGCCCGGTGTGCCGCTGCCCGGAGTTCTGCCCGGTGTGCCGCTGCCCGGAGTCCTGCCCGATGTGCCAGTCTTTGATATCCTGCCAGTTACCAGACCCGGGCGGTGGAACAAGAAAATACTAGTTATGAAATTTAATTTAGGTAAACACAAAATAACAGTATTGGTTTGTCAGTGCTTCCCATTATGAAAAAATATTTCTCTTCAAAGTTTTCATAACTTTTTTGTATTTCTTTTTTCATATCATCTGTAGTCATAGAAAAGTGCTAAATGATAGTGGGAGTGATAAATGAAGCAATACTTTTTTGAAAATCGTGTGTGTAATTTGTGGCGAATGTCTTATAAAATGAAGCATGGAAGCTATTTTCCTAGCACAAGGTGAAGCAATAATGTGCACATACAGGAAGCTAAATAGGCACTAGTATATTTGAAAACTTAGAAAAAATGCCTAAAAAAGTAATACATACATAACACATAAAGGCATAGCTCAGCAGTCAGTATAAGATTTGGGATTTTCAAACCGTTTTCTTGGTTAAATTGCTATTTCAGTTTCTTTCTTTTTTTTTCATGTTGAGTTAACCTCTATAGCTATTGTTTGTGGGGAAATAGATATTTTGCCTTTCCCTCTGTTATAGTCCACTATTTTCTCCCCATTTTTACTTGTGTGGCCTTTTTTGTTTTGTATGGAAGATAGATTTGCTGTCTATAAATATATTCAGCAATGGGGCAGTGGATAATGTACACCTTATACAACATGTAGTGAAGAGGTCAGCAACCCATCTGCCTAGATTTAAGTTCACCAACAATTAGAAGATCACTGTGATGTTGGGGTTTTGAAAAAAAATAGAACAGAGACTGGGGCCAGGAAAGAGAAAAAGAAAACAGCAACCTTCCTCCATAATTATAGTAGCACAACCTTAAAGTGGTATTAAACCACAAAGCAAAAATTTCATATATTGCATCTAACCAATCATTAGATATGGTGGCTGAATTTGTTTTCTTTTTTTAGACTTTCTTCTCTGTATTTTCACCTCGTGATCTGGCCAGTAACACACTTACTTTATTAGGGTGCCTTCACTGTGGATGAAGGAGTACAGAGAGCACCTCTGGACATCCAGATTGTCAGTATAGGGGGTTGGATGTGTAAGGTGTACTAGCAGATTTAAATACACTACAACATTTAAGCCAAACTCCATCTAACACTTTATAAGCAGTTTTTTGTCCTTTTGGGATAAAGGATTTACATAAATTTAAAAAAAAAACTAATCACTGTAAGCACCCCAGTCATTGTTATGTGGTTTGTCTTATCCTGGTAAAGCATTCATCTGCAAAAGAACTTCTTTTGAAAAACAACAGACTTACTGGCCAAATCACCAGATGAAGAAAGAAAACCTGAAAAAAGAAAACAAATAGCAGGACATTCCACCCAACGTAGCCATCACATCTAAGAATTGGAAAGCTGCAATATAATGGATATTTTCTTTTGGGTTTATTACTGCCTTAATTTACAATGACCAAAAATAGCTGGAGCTCAGGGAAAAATCACTGAGAGAAATGAGGAATATGCTTGAGGATATAATCTTATAATGCCGCCCAGCCACCTTTCTTCATTACAGGTGATAATTTTTTTTAACACAATATACCACTACTGTTGTCAGTTCTTGTATGATATCTGAAAAAACTCCTACCTGTTTGACTTACTAATTACTTTGCCTTTTACCTACTTATGACTGAAGTATCTGACCTAACGTTCCAATTAACCTTTTCGCTGCCAGGCCCTGCGCTCCACTTTCAACTCAGCTGGCCAGGCCATTTTTTTTATTTTTCACTTCCATCTTTTAGAGTTTGTATAAGACCCCCCCAAAACCATATATTTTCTGAAGGCATAGGACCAATAGAATAAAAGAAAGGTACTACTGATTTTTTTTAGGTCCTGTGATATTTGTGCAAATGTTTCTCATATCAATATTTATGCTAAAAATACAATAACATCATCATTAGTGGATACATATATAGCAAGATTTACAAAATTCCTGCTAAATATAAAAGCTAAAACTGTATTGAGTTAATAAATATATTTTTGTAAATTTTAAATTGTGCCTTTTTGTGAAATAATGAAAACTGAACGTGCGCAAAACTCTAAGTAAAAACAATTTAGTCTCAAAATCTGACAAAATACATTAAGATGATTATTAGTGCACACAGACACAACGTAGCTTTTTAAATTCCAGCTATATTGCTACTAAGGTCTTGTTCACATGGGGCGTACTAAAGTGTATGGCCATGGAGGACTATGTTTATTCGCATGGAGATGCCCAGGTGTTCCATGCAGTGAATGACTATGACAAGCCTGGGTCTCCACAGGAGTGGTGAGGAAACCACGTGTGATTTGGACAGGAATCACACCCCATTCCTGTTCAAATCACATACCATTCTTTGCAGTGTGATTTGCGTCTTTCATTTTGTATGGACACAAATTGCACCGCAAAGTATTGGTACTCGGTATCGGCAAAATAGGCTGTCAGTGCATCCCTACTTACTGTGTTTTTTTTTTATTTTTTTTTTTTTAGAATTTTATTTATTACAATTTTTAATATGTTGTACTTTTTTGGGTGGAGGTGCTTTGGCGAGATATCAGGGGTCTAAGCAGACCCCTGATGTCTCTTTGGACTGAAGACAGTCCCTTTCTCTGCAGCCTACGCTGCACATTACATGTATGAATAAGAAGTATTTTTCATTCATAACCTGACACATAGTAAACACAGTTTACTATGAACAGTTATCAATGGATATAGGAGCGATCAGTAGTGATTACTGACTGTATCCCCTAAAGGAAAGGGAGGGGGCTGGTAAAGACATGTTTACCAAGGCTCCCCCCTCTCCATCCTGATAGCTTGGAGCTGGAGCAGCAGCTGCAGGCAACAGGAAGGAGAGGAGGGAATGCCAGCCAGCAGCAGGGGATCAGTGAGTGGGGGACCAGCAGCGGGGGGGTTGGAGTGGCGGGGGATATGTTTTTATGCTCAAAAGCACCTTCAGCAAGCCGGCGGGAGAGGCACAAGAGGGATGTCAGCGGCTACAGGGTAGCTGCAGGGGATCGGGTTTGCTGTGGGGGGCTGTGGGTCATGGGGGGGGGAATCAGTGCTGGGGAGTTGATACGGTGGGAGAACAATTAATTAAAAGTGGGGTTGGGAGGTGGAGAGGCTGGAGACAGGGAAGTGAAGGAAGCAGCAGCAATGGTGGGGAGGTTACATTTGAGATGAATAACTGTAGTCAGCGACTTGTTAGACGCTGATCTGAGCTATCTGTTTGTTCAGCAGAGTCTGTTGAACAGTTTTGCTATAAGCTCATGGTCACTGAAGCGACCATGAGCTTATAGCAGAGGAGGAATGCAGGTCCATACAGCATATAGACCTGGCTTGCTGGAAGCAGGGCTGTAGTTCCAAATGTCCCTGGCAGTGAAAGGGTTTAAGTGGTTCCCCTCTATTGCTGTTCTGGTGACAACTCAATTATTTTGATTTTTCTTCACTATTTGTCCTAGTGACAATTGTCACCAGGAGAAATAGTGAATATTTCCAGTGGAGATGTATACAGCAATAATCTAACAGGGTTTTAACCCCTCTCTACAGTAAAACTAAACAAAGGCTTTGGTTTTGGATACAATGTGTCAGGACTTACTGTATCACATGTTTTCTTTCTGTCTAAAGATTTTTTGGGGGGGAGATTGTGGAAAAAAAAGTTTTTAAAGTAATTTTTCACACTGTTAATACACACCAAACTTACTGTGTGATATAAATGTGCTTCTAATTTCAGCAATAGAGTGGAAATCTGCTCAAGAGCGTGATCTGAAGGCTGCCCTCCTGCAAATCAACCATGACATTCCTCTGGTATTTGTCAGTGGAAATCATGATATAGGCAATA